CAGCAGGAAAAAATGGAAACATGTAATTGTGACAGTGATTGATCCACTTGGATTTGATTTGCGTATTGTCATATTCAGATTAATTTTGAATAGGACGAGCCAAGACCAAGCTAAAGCCTCTTAATGCCATCACAGTCAAACCCGGTGAGGTTCTTGTGGGTGGGAGTCTGGGTCCAGCTGGGTTTGTTCTGAACTGGAGCAGAACTCTCCCCTCACATGTCAGAATTGCCTGTGAAAGGAGCAAGCCGGATCCCAGCATGACCCATGGTTTGGAGCAGTGTGAGTGACTGGGAGCTGTGGATGGATCCCCAAAGGAGGGGTCCTACGTGGTCACCTCAGCTGTCCCTTTCCCACCCCTTTGCAGCCTCTACTGACATTGAGGCCTTTGCCTTTAGACATGGATGCTGCCAATAGGTGCTCAGGTTCAGAGCAGTGACCTCATGTCCCTCACTCATCCCTTTCTCTGATCAGAGCTGCCTTTTCTTTCCCCTTCCATCCTATGCTCAGCACCTGGGGACTAATGGGAAAAGCGTTGGCTGCCAGCGCCTTGTTCTTGCCTCCTGCAGGGCCCCACATGCTCCCAATTCATAGGGTGCCATTTCAGGTCCCTAACTTGTGCCAGCCCTGCCTTCAGCTTCTGGATAAACCCCAAGCTGGTCCTCCACCAGCAGATGCTGTGTCAGGCCTTCTCCTCATCTGTGCTGTTCTGCGGAGCAGCCTCCCCAGAGCAGAGGCACCAGTCCCAGCTGGGCAGGCTGCAGAGCAAAGCAAAGCTGAGCGTGTTGCAAAGCTGGGAAAGAACGAGCGAGCCAGAGGACCCTTCAGTACAAGGTTTATTTGTGTTTGGAGGTGTCAGTTGAGGTGTCCCAGCTGCCGTGGGGAGCGCTGTCTTGGTCTTGCGCAGGGGTGGGTCTGGGTGGGTCCTCTAGGAGAACATGGAGGCTTGGTCGCAAGATGAGTCCATCATGCAGCCCTCTGAAGGAGAACACAGTCAGGTGAAGGCAAGCAGAGCTTGAGCTGTGCCCGTCTCCCATACCCCACCCCCATGGCTGTGCACAGCTGATCTGGATAATACTCTGTCCAAGGCAATGGGGATTTGTGGCTTCACCTAGCTGAGGCCTGAGCTTAGGTAGATGTGGCACCTTTCCGATGGGGGTTCGGTAAAATGCTGTGCTGGGTGGGACCAGCGAGCTGCAAAGCCTGGAGCTGACCAGCCACCACTCCTGTTTGTAGCCACTTTCTCCTGTGGACCCGGCTTAAGTCTTGGACTTGCTAACACTGACCTTCTAGCTCTGGACAAGCTGACTCTGATCAGTCTCCTCTGCAGTCTGCTGTGTGGACCTGTGCTGGCAGCGAGATAACCACGCTGCTCCTCTAGACAGCCCCTTCCCTCCAACCTGTGCATCTCCAAGCACTCTGGTCATCAGTTTTAGCCTTCTCCATAAGTGGGGCGGGGTCTAATTATTGATGAGGAACCATGCAGTTAAGCAACTGGCCTAGAGGGATTTAGCAACTGGCTGTTCTGTGTTTCTTGTAGCTGGCTGCTTGTTTCTGGAGTCTCAGTCCTGTATCGAGCTCGGAGGCTGTTGCTGCTTGAGCTAAGATTATGGGGGAGCCTTATAGTGGGTGATGCAGGGTAAGGGGTGGGGTGGGGAGACATGGAGAGGTCATGGGAAGCTCCAGCTGGAGCAGAGCTGGGGAGCTCTCACCGTTGCTGCAGCAGATCCCCTCGGCTGCGCAGGTCCCGCCCGTGTTGCCGCACGGCTTGCGGCCAGACTCGCAGGGCGTGGGCAGGTAGTTTTCCTCCTGGCATCTCAAGGTCTCCGAGGTCCCAAAGTAGCAGCCCAGTTCTTCCCCGCAGCAGATGCTGGGGCCAAAGCAGTGACCTTTGTTCCTTGGCCCACAAGGCAGGCACTGTTTGGAGAGAGACCCGGGGGCTGGTTAGCACGGGGAAGGCTGCGGCCCTTGGTGCCAGGGGTGTGATCGGAGGTTGTGGAAAAGCTGTTGCTGAAGCCGGTGCACTATGGAACAAGCCTGGAGGCTGGCGTGTGTGGGAAAGCGATGAACTCGGCTGCCTGGAAGGATTGGGAAGGTGGCTGTGGGGTGGCAGAGTCGGTAGCCCTATGCAGACCCTGGAGGTGACACCTCCAGGGAGTGAACCCCCTTGGACCCCCTTTGGTTCCCTGAAAAACAGCCGGCATTAGGCACCCCACGGACAGATTCTGGTTAGAGCTTTACAGTGTGGTAAGGACCGGAGAGCTGTGCTTTACTCTGGCGAGTGCCAGGCATCCCATCCTATGCTGCCTATGCCACAGTAGGCCGTAGGAAAGTAGGGACCTCACAAGGTCATCTCGTCCATCCCCGTGCTCAAGGCAGGATCACCCCTGACTAGGCCGTCACAGCTGAGTTTATTGTCTAATCTGCTTTTAAATCCTTCCAAGGATGGAGATGCCACGACCTCTCTGGGCAGCCTGTTCAAGGTTTGACCACCCTCATCCTCCTCATCTCCAGCCTAGATTTGCCCTGCTGCAACTTGAGGCCATTGCTCCTAGTCCTGTCCTGTCCAGAGAGAAACTCATCTCCATGCTTTTTGTAATTGCCCTTCAGGTATTTGAAAACTGGTATCAAATCCCCCCTCAGTCTTCTGTTCTGACTAAATAACCCTGGGGTTTTTTTCAGCTTTACAAGCCATATAAGATGTCATAGCATCTCCTGTTCCCTGTTGCTACAGATTTCTGCTGGCCACGGGTACAGCACTGCTCATCGTGACTGGGATTACGGTAAAATGCAGCTCTGCAGTTCAAGACGCTGAGCCCTGCCCTGCCCTGCCCCGAATGGACCAGGCAGGCTCAGCAAATGCTCTGATCCTCGTTTAGCAGACCAGGGGGCTCAGCACCTGCTCTGTGGTGCGTCCACCCTCTCTCTGCCTTAGCTGCTCTGGTTGTGCCTTCCCTGACGGTGCAACACCTTTTCCAGCTGAACGGGACGCTGACAGCTACAGGAAGCTTTTTCCAGCAGATATGCACTGGAGTCTCTGGTTCCTTCGCTGGCTTAACACGGGCAGGGGGAGAGGCAGGTAAATTGTAGGCAAATGCAGTGCTTCTGGCAGAAGCTTTACAAAAGCAGCCACACCACAGTGAGCCCAAGGGTCTAGGCTGCTGGTATTGCCCAGCCTCTAAGGCCTGGAAGTGCCTCAAGGTTAGACAGCTACTTCACACGCAATGGGCATGGGTGCTGGTCATCGCTTTTGTAGACTAAAGCTGCCTGGGCTGCAATGGCTTGAACCCCCTGCTTTCATGCCATGCACAGGATCTTGCTGGTGTGGTGGGGGAGCAGCCTCGTCCTGCTTCTGCTGCAGGCTCCCCACATTGACCACCTTGCATTGCACCTCAAGACAGAAGGAGCCCAAATTGTGGGGTAAAAGCAATACCCTTTAAAATCCAGCTTTACCACAGGGGTTGTCAAGCTCTGGTGCATAAAGATCTCCCTTGTCTGTGAAACTGGTCCCATAAATGCTACTCCTTCCCCACCGTGCATCTTGCCTATGCCCTCACGGCTGCCACAACCTTGGGTGATGCTACCGCGGCCCAGCCCGAAGGCGAGCCCGCCGCCCTCACCTTTCTGATGTCCATGTCCAGGACGGACCGCTTCCCTCCGATGGGGCAGTTCTGGATGTAGCAAGCTGACGAGAGGGCCAGGAGGCAAAGCGCGCAGACGACCAGAGCGCTGTGAGCCATGGGAGCGGTGGCAGGTCCTGCTTCGCTTGGGCGGGGACCCAGGGATTGTCCTGGCTCCTCAGGAGCTGCCGGTATATATGGGCCTGGCTGCCGGTGCTGAGCCACGCCACCTCCCTCGTCATTCATTTCCCTTAAGGAAGACAAGGCATTGCTGGCCACACCACCTGCCCCTGCTAATCAGCCGGGGTCGAGGATGTGAGGTCAGCCGGGGTTGAGTCATCTTCTCCTTGGCGCTTGCTCCCAACTCGGGGAGAGACACATCACCTGCGGCCAAGCGGCAGGTTGAGTCCTCAGGGGTGATGGTTTCCCTGCTGTTCTCTGCAGAAGATATCTACTGTCTCAAGTCCCCGGAAAGCCTTTCGACCGTGGGGCCTCGCAGATCAATCAAGAGGCAGCTGTTTGCTACATCCATTGTCTCAAGTCCCCGGAAAGCCTTTCGACCGCGGGGCCTCGCAAATCAATCAAGAGGCAGCTGTTTGCTACATCCAGGGTAGGGCTCGGCAGCTGTAGACAGAGGAGCACGGCGATGGCCTGATGCGTTAGATGACTGGACCCAGAGCACCTCATAGAGGAGCTCCGATAGACACAGGAGGAGGGGTGGATGTCGTACTTAGACTTCAGGAAGGCCTTCGATACAGTATCCCACCCCATACTGGTGAGCAAGTTAAGAGGCTGTGACTTGGATGACTACACAGTCTGGTGGGTGGCGAATTGGCTGGAGGGTCGCACCCAGAGAGTCGTGGTGGATGGGTCGGCTTCGACCTGGAAGGGTGTGGGTAGTGGGGTCCCGCAGGGCTCGGTCCTTGGACCGATACTCTTTAATGTCTTCATCAGCGACTTGGACGAGGGAGTGAA